AATGAAACATCTAGGGAACGACAAATGACTGGCAGATGCCAAGTTCAAGAGGCTGGAAAACTCCCCTGTTGCAGAGAGATCAGCAGACCCTTCCCTTCTTCGGGAACCACAGAACAGGGGGGCTGGGCCCCGGCTCCCATGTCAGGCTGCCCTGGGCTGCTCTCCCTGCCTTGCCTTGGTATCCGATCTCCATCTGCTTCCTGTACCGGAGCACCCCCCAGCCCCAGCACCTGCATTCTAGACTCTGCTGTCTAGACATGTCCTCTGGACGCCGGGCCAGGCTCTGTAACCCGAACAGGCTGCTCTGACCATCATTAGGATCCGTCTCTAGGCTGCAGCCTGTAGCCGGGAACCCCAGGGGACACTCACTGCCTGCTGCATACTGTACATCCCCTCTTCCTGGACCTCCCACGCCTGCCCCAGCTCCACGTCACTGGCTGGTGGTTCAACGCACTGGGTGAGGGGGCAGCTGGTACTAGCAGCCAGGGCAGGTGGAACCACGGAGCTGGTAGCACTGGCTCCCATGGCTGATGCATCTTACCTGGGAGATGCCTGGGGAGCTGGAGCCAGAGCGGTCATCAGGATCCCTGTGTGCACATGCAGAACGTGTAGGCAAGAGGGTGCTGGGGGTCTCTCCTCCTCCTCCTCCCTGTTCCAAGGCAGCTCTCTCAAGTCACCATGGGCCCCTGCCCTGGCCTGTGCTGGGAGAGGCAGGCAGTATTTACCAGGCTCCCACCCCCTTCGCGGGTGAGCACCCTGCTGGGAGATGGCTAAGTGGGCTCTGCTGCTGCAAGAGGCAAGTGTGGTTGTTTCTCTCTAGGGAGGGGAGAATCTAGGGCATGGGCTGAGCAAGGCAAGAGGAGCAGCCCCTGGAGCAGATGGGCTTGGGGAGGGCTCAGCTGCTCTCTCATTGTCAGGCCCTTGGTGCCGGGGAGGAAGAGGAAGAGGAGTTTGTACTTTGCGCCGTGCGTAGGCGGTGTGTGCCGAGCAGGTGTGGGGAGGCACCTGCTCCTGCCTTCCAGGTGCTGCAGACTCCTAGCTACCTGGGCTCAACTAAGGGAGGTGCCAGCACCTGCTCCCTGCTTCTGCTGCTCTGACCTGCAACCCCAAGGGGGTGGGAGCAGAAGCAGGCTGAGCTCCCTGCCCGGACTGGCCTTTGGGGCTGGGACTCCACCTGGCTTTCCAGGCTGAAGCCCTGCTTCCTTCTTCTCTACCTTCCTAGAAGCTGGGTCTTTAAAGCATCTGCCCTCACAGCGCCCCGCAAGGCAGGGCGACACTAGCGTACAGCTAGGGAACGGCTGCACAGGGAGAGGAAATCATTTTGGTGCAAGTCGCACAAGAGACAGGCAGCAAAGCGGTGAGCCCAGACCTGAGGCCTGTGCTCTAACCACCGGGACATCCTTCCTCCCCCCTTGGCCCTTCTGCAGGGAAGTGAAGTAGGGTTGGACAGACACAGGCAGTTTGAAGACCACTGTCAGGCTACTGGCTGGAATGGTGACCCTGTCCCTTCCTGCCCCAGGCTTGCTTTCCTAGGCGCTGGCTCCATCAGACTGGACTCAGTAATTGCTACTCTGGGCTGTCCTGAGTGTATCACCCCTACTCAGCCACTTCCTGCCAGCCTGGCAGCTTTATGAGATGGACGTGGGCAGGAAACACTAGTCTCAGTCTTTACCCCAGAGGGGAATTTTCCCCCTTCTCTGCCCAGCCGAGCACCCAGAGGTGGCAGCCACCAGATCTGCCCCTCCTTGCCTGAGCGCTGGGAACCTAACACAATCAAATAGCACCAGCCATTGCTCTTACAGTTTATTATTTGTACTGCAGTAGAACTACTGTACTGTATGCACACTACGTACGGCGTAGGTACGCCAAGTGTCAGAGGACACGGCCCCAGCTACCTAACCCTTGGTTTCCAAGACAGGCTCCGGGCCTGTGACAATCCCTCGTTCATCCCAAACCCAGCTCATCCCTGCTCATGCCACATGTCTCCCATCATATTTGGGTCATGATGCTGCCGTTAAAATTCCAGACGCGAAGGAACTACAGTCTTAAGGGTGTTTACCCTGGCTGATTTAACACAGCTCCTATAGAGACATGCACGCACGCTATGTGTAAGCGAACAGCCGCTTGCCGGTTCACCAGAGTCTGATCTTGCACCACCAGCCAGGGCCCAGCTTGCAGCTTTCTTTGCTGCCTATTTGCTGTCCTGGCACCTGCCTTGGAAGGGAAGCTGCGAGCACTCTGCTAACCAGATTAAAACCCGAGCTCGGCTCTCCTCACTGCAGTGGCTCAGAGCTGCCTCTGCAGAAATGCTAATGCGGACACTGCCTCGGAGATGCTCCCTGGCACATTGCAGCAGCTCCCCCACCGTCTCTGAAGGCAGCGGCAGCACAGAGGCACCAAGGGATTGCTCTCTCTCTGCTTCGTCAGTGGTGGAAGTGCAGGAGGATCACGTGCAACCTTGTCTGGCTTGGGTGAGCCCGTGGTGGTCTTGATCCGGGGGTGGCCAAGCAGCTCTCCTAGGATCCTAGCTATTCCCTGTATTCCTAACAATATCCCCGTCTTGCTCCAGTGCAGCAGCCCTCCATAGGAGATAGTGGCTACTCCTGCGATGCTCATGACACCCCAGTGAAGACCGATTCCCAGCTAAGTCAGATGAATAATAAGAGAAGCAGAAGTGGCTCCAGATGGAGCTTTCCCAAGCTGAAGGCAGCTTGGAGCCAGGGTTTTGCTCCAGCCTATTGGGGAGGGAGTCAGGAAGTTTACATCCAAATCCAAGCACAGAGAGGGGGTGAGTGCTGATGCAGACTCAGGGTTTGGGCCTGTGGAAGACAAAAGGCTCAGCCTCAAAGTCCAGAACCGGATGTAGTTCTGGACACCGCCATGGGCTGAGCCGTTTGGTTCTGGGTCAGACCCAT